CCCCAAAACCCCAAAACCCCAAAACCCCTGTAAGAATAATTATGAAAATTAGTAAGAAATTATTGATATTGTATTTAAATTTAATAATTCAGCGATGGATTTAACTAGGTAATCTTTATCACAAGGCCAGGGCTAATAGCATTAACACCGTCCCAATATCAAATATTAATTTAAGGCGATGACTTTAGCAGTAAAAGAACAGCTTTTTGAGTCTACAAAGCCTGTTAATATGGATGACATCTACACAAGCAGGGTTCGGACTATGGATGAACTTTAAGAATCCCTCTAAAAATTTGCTATGCAAACCCCCAGGAATTAGCGTATTGAAGTACTTTAGCTAACGAAACAGATCAGGTCTGAAATGAGTCCTAAAAAGTCAGATAATTTTATCAGAGTCACTAAAAGTTCGGATTACGATGAGGGGTCTCACTAGAAAATGGTCAAAAGGCTGATTTCATCAAAGAAGTTCTTGCATTCTTAGCCCGAATATAAAAATAATCAAGAGTCACCTATAAAGAAAATTGAATAGAGCGACTCCAAAAAACTGTTCCTGTTGACATCCCAAGAGGATGAAAAGGATAGGAATATGAAAGCCGCGATAAAATTTCTAAGAAATCTAGGCTAATAAAGGCGATAGTGGATGTAATACCAAGATTAAATGGACGAAATTTCCTCCCCAAGTCCTTAAACGACAGGTTTTAATAATGACTAAAGGTTAAGCTATAAAACTGCAAGAAATAGAAAATCTAATGCTGATCTATCTTTGCTTGACTTTCAAAATTTAAAAACAAAAATAGATCTAAATGATGAAGAGAGAGACTATATTGACCTAACTAAAGAGTATAGATAGTATGATGAGAAAAAGTTCGAAGCGTTTCAGAAGAAATACAAAGATCAGCGACGAAGTTCAGCGAGAGTCACTTCTCTGCCTCCTTTTGATATTAATTAATTAATCGGAAATATCACTAACAACCAACAGAATAATATTTAATTAGAAATTATTACTAATCAAGCAAATAACGTAGGCTTACCTCCTCTTCACCCTGAAAACAAAAAAATAGGTTCATTAACAAAGCTTCATCTAATTGTAGAAAGCCATAAAGATGACGAAATCGATTAATTAAATACAATGTTCTAACAAGAAAAAATGGAACTAGGAGTTCCAAGATCTCAGACTGCTAAAAATCAATCTAAAGTTCATATTCAATTGCCACACTAGAAGTCAATTAATGTTTTTAGTGCCAGAAATGACCTGTAGATAGATCAGATAAGTAGCGATAGTCAGGATGAATCAAGTTTTGGGGATTCAGACGATAAAACATCATCATAAAATTCAATACCTGTGAAGTAAATTAAAATGAGAGATCCTAGAATGAGATCATTCTAAATTAATAACACTAAAACTCTAGCCTCCCTTTACAATCAATCAATCAGTAAAAACTCATTTGTAAAGTCTAGATACTCTAGATATATTCCTAGCAAAGTATCAGTAAAAGATTTTAAAAATCCGCAACACTTAAAAACTTTGAGGGAAAATCTGAGGCAGTTAAGTATTTCTGTTGAGGATGGAAGTATTTAAGGATAGAACAGTGATGAACCTAAATCTGCGTAGGCTAGACTGCAAAAAATCTAAAACCAAAACAAGGATATCTTTGAAGGCCATCTAATACCTTATTCTATTAACCAACTACTAACTGAGAACAAAAAACTGTTCGGCAAGATCTCATAGACCACTAAGAATTAAACATAAAGATTTAAGAGTCTGAGAGAAGATTCTCTCAAGAAAATTGTAAAAACGATAAACCTATTATCTATTGATGTCGAAAAAAGAAGCGAAGAAATGTCTCAACAGATGTTAACAGGATCAAACATGGACAATAATTCGTATAGTTTCGAGAGGTTTTAGGAAGACCACTCAAACTTTAGAAAGCAAAGCAAGTGCACCTCAGAATAGTACTAGATTACCCAGAGACTTATTGATGCTTAATTCAATAGTCAGGAGTCAAGTATCAGCCCACCTAATAGCAATGATCGCAATAGCGTTGGCAATAAATCCTACCCTAACCGCAAAAATACTGTCAATAATACCTCCAATCTAAACAATATTGAAAAATTCACCATCATTCTATAGCAAACAGATTGTAATTATTAAGAGGACTAATGACTCAAAGAATGTCTGTTTTATCTTATAAATGTATCTGAGAAATTAAATATTTAACCCTTAATTCATTTCACTTAATTATTTTAAGCATATCTTCTTTTACTAAAATTTTCTCTCTAGTTTTGCCGTGTTCTTCTCCTCTTTTTTTCTCGACTGAGTCTATCTTTTACCAATCAATAAAATCAACTGATTTTTAATCTGAAGGGATAAGCTTTAGTACTTCCTCAACAGTAGTGTTTTTTTCTTATAAGTCATCACATTCCATATGGTGTTTGATAATTCTAAAAGTTTCTACTGAATCTCTTAAAGTTGCATCAATAATTCCGTTAGGGCCTCTCTTTAACCAGCCTGCCACATAAAATCCTGGTTAAATCTATCCGTTTTTATCTAATATACAACCATATTAGTGAGGTATGGTACATGTCTAAGAGTTAAATGTTACACCTTCAATTGGTCTTGATTGATAACCAATACTTTTTACTAGCAATTAACACTCAATTTCTGATTGAATATTTTAAGGATCTGGAACAGCTCTTTAATGGCCTACTTCCCCTTCTAGTACCATCTTCTAGAGTCTTACTTTATTAATTCTATTACTTATCTGATTAGATAATAGCTCTATTGGATTTTGAAGGTATCTTAGAAAAAGATTCTTGGTGTCATTCCTGCTGTGTGTAATGTCTTGATATTACTCTATGCTGTCTATGAACTTACAAGTTTCTTTCAAGAACTCAGTTCTTCTGTGCCATCCACGAGATAGAGGACTGAATCCAGCACCAGTCTCTTCAATACTTTAATCATTTCTTGATTAATCATACTCCTCTCTGAACATATAAAGCTATACATTTTCTATTCTACTTATTTCTCTAATCTCTTTGATAGTAAATGCAGACTGTATCACTCCTCTCCTTCCAATAACAGATAAATTTTTCAGTTTTAATTTCATAAGCTATTCAATTACTGGTGTGGGTGCATCAAAAGGTTGAAGTAGTTTAGGATTCTTAAGTAACACTCTGGAAATATCCATAGCAACATTACCATTGCCAATAATTGCCATGTCTTTCAAGTTTTAAAGATCAAGATCTTGCTCTGGATCTAATATGTCATCTAGAGATCCATTATACCAATTAGCCATTTGTCTAGATGAAAAAACACCTCTGAGTGATTCTTCATTAGGTAAGCCTAGCTTTCTTTCACTAGTGGCACCATATGCTAGAACAACACCAGAGTAAAGTTCTCTTAGTTTTTCTATGGGAATTCCATTATTAGTTCCCACCCATACATTCCCAAAGAATCTACATCTCTCTGTGTCTCTAAGAATTTCTTGATAATCTTTTTCTATTTTTTTCATTTCAGGATGGTCTGGCGCTACGCCTGTTCTCACTAATCCAAATGGATGAGGATTTCTATCAAAAATGTCAACTCTAACATTTTTAGTATTCTTTAAGATCTATTTCCCACAATAAAAACCAGCAGGGCCTGAGCCTACAATAGCAAATCTATACTCTTTATTAGATCGAACCATATTCTAAGACTCAATTTTCTGTTTAAACTCCTCATTATAGTCTTAAGCTACTACAAAACCAAACTATCTCTTATTAGAGAGTATAGCCTTCGATGTTCTTTGCAGAATTTTCATTAATGGCTAAAATAGAATTATTAAATTTATATTCTCAACGAATCAATGGTACATAAAATATCAATGGGGTTTTGGGGTTTTGGGGTTTTGGGG